AGTGTCTGTTAGTATAAACCTCTTGATTGACCTCTAGCTAGAGGATAACTTAAACAAGACTATCCAAATACTAAAGCATTTTATGAAGTTCGTATTTAGTCCCACTTGGTCTTGACTGTAATAGGTGTCACCAGTTCTGTGGTATGGTTCATTTAAATGTTTGTGAACATTTTCCATGCATGATGCTATTGTACAGGGAATTTTATGTTTGCAAAAATGAGGCACAGTTCTGCAGACACCTCTCAGCAGTCAACACCAGTCTAGTAGCTCCAGTACCCCATCACTTATTTCCACCCTAAGCCTGGGAACAGTTGTAGATGAAAAATAATCTATAGAGGAGACACTGTGGAATTCCAGCCTGAGTAAGTTAATAGTGCTTCTTGTTTCATTGGAAAACCAATACATTGTCCAGAGTCATGCCAGATTGGATGCGGTTTCTAGGAGCTTATCAAACTTCCTAGCAGATCTGGCCTTTTTTCAAGTATCAAACTGTGACACTGGCAGTTACTGGCTAGCTATTTCATCCTGGATTTAAAGGTGCCTCTTATGGTAGGACGACTGAGGTGGGAGTGCACCTTTGTCCTGAGGTTGCAACCAGTGACTCAGAGTCTAGTTGACCAGGTTGGAGCTACTCCGCTCGCATAGCTAACTACTTTCCAAAGGGAAAGCTTTCCCTTTCTTCCCCTCCGGCCCAGCTGGGTTTTCCATCTCTCCCTCCCGAACATCACCACTGGACACCAACTGGAGCCAGTTCACCCTTCAAAAAACTGTTCCCAGTAATTGTGGTTCAAGGAGTTTTCTGCCAGTTTAGCTCCCGGAGCTTGTTCCCCAGAATGGGGAGGTGAGCTGCAGTGTTTGTGCAAGGGAAGTAGCAAGAGCCTGCAGCCCCTTGGCTGATGCTTTCTGCATGAGCTAACTGTGAGATTAGCTTTGAAGGTGCAGTTCCTCATGACACTGAATCTTTTTCAGGTTGCTGCCAAAAGGGGTGGTCCAAAATCCCTCTTCCTTGTCCATCAGGTCTGGTGATCGTGTCACTGCAAGGTGACCCAATTCAGCTTGCTGATCTGTAAGCAGGACACTAACCTGCTTACAAAAATATTAGTATTGCATCACATTAGGAAGACGCAGCCAGCTCACAGTGCCACTAAGAAATTACTTGATTGGAATATAAGCAAGAGGTAGGAAATGGAACTGCTCATTTCGGTGATAGCTTGTACTTGGAGCTGATTAGGTGTGACATGAAAGCGCTCCTCAAGCGTGTGGCTCCCTATACATTTTCTTTGACAGCAAAGCCAAAGTCCTTGCCCTCTCCTGTCCCCAGTTGCTCATTCTGGCTCTTATCAATTCCTGTTTTGTTTTGGAAGGATTTGGATTTGTTTGAGGGTTTTTTTTTTTGTTGTTGTTCTTTTACCATTTCACTGATCCAGTTTAGAGATTAGCATTAGACACAGGATCAGCAATAGTGATCTGTGAAACAGAAGCAGAACCAGGAGGCCGTGGAAGAGTGAGCAAAAGAGGAGCGTTCCCATTAACAAAAGTGTAACACAGGACAGCACTCCCAATATCACCGTGTCATTTTTATTTGCCTTTCCTGAATAGACTTGAAAAACATTTTCTTTGAAAGTCATGAGACCATTGCCAGACACCATGAAGTAACGCGGCTTCATACATCCTTGAATGGTGCTCTTGTTTTGCTCTTGAGCTTGTGTGTTTGCTGTTTGCTATTTTCATTTTTCCCCCTATCTCCATTGTCAGCATTTTTAAGGCAAAACACAGACAATAGAAGTGGGGTCGGAATCATTTGTTTAGGTCTGGGGAAAGGTAGTTAGCCTTTGTCACAGAGCTTATGAGCCTTCTAAAAACCTGAGAAAGCAACTGGTCACACTGTGCTGGGAAATGGAAGTCATGAGCTAGGGAAAAGTTGAGGAATCCCAGCTCTAGGATTTATATAGGAATCCAGCTACATACTGAGGCTCAAGAACAGAAAACCTCAACCGAAACTGGAAGTGGAGGGAGGAAAACATAACAGGATCAAGGGGATTTGTGGGGTCTTTCTCATACTGATATGAGTATCCAGGAGTAATTGAGATCATGTCTGACCTGAAGGATGGTTACTGGATTTTTCTGTTTGATAGTATGTTTCTGTTCTTTTTCTTTACTTACATAAAACAAAGCTATTGCTATGGCAATGTATAGCAGGCTGTGGCCTGGCCTGGAAGACGGTCAGACCAGCATGAACAATCATCCAGCAGAATATTTAAACATACATAACACTAGCAGTATTGTCAATATCAGCTATTCACAGATGGTGGATTATATCCTTTAAAATTTGTGGCATTGGTTTAAAAATCATATGGTGTCAAAAGACAATACATTTTGGATACTTTGTATCTAGCTTCTTAGCCTTTGCCGCTCTCTTTTACCCAGGAGGTTGGACTACGTGGCCTCCCTGGTCCCTTCCAACCTGAATGACGCTGTGAGCTTTTAAGAAATCACAGGGGTAGAAATCCTGTACACTTATCTGTATTCTGCATCACCTTATAATTTGGGCCATGACGGCTAAGACCTGATTCTCTTTAGCGTTAGTTGTATACTGATGTAACTCCATGGTGAACTGTGAACTGGCTACTTTATGCAAGGGAGAGGAGGCCACCCTCAGAGTTTTTCTTTCCTTTAAAGTTGGCAGCAATTACAGTAGCAGTTTTCTCAGCCTTTTGACACAGAGATTGGCCTGATTGTTCTGCATTTAATGAAACTCTCGTGGCATAATAAAGAAGGATGCCTGTAATACAGAACTCTGTGGACAGGACAAGGCAAAGTAGGTTAGAAGACCTGTCCAAATAAAAAGTTCTAGGCATCTCTGTAATAATTCTCAACCTATTCTGTTCTATGAGCTGTTGTAAAGGCATTTCAAGCTTTATTGTGTTTAACCTGCAGAAGGCCTCTTCCTGGCAATGGATGGTGGTGCCAGATCCACCAGGAAGCGTAGTCTTTTCAGAACTATTTAGAATTCAAGACTTAGTTTTGTTTACTGAAAGTGCAGCCTTCGTCTCAGCCGCTTTACACTTGCCATTTGCTGCAGAGTTTGTTAAAAGGGTGGCACTTTGAGAGTGAAAACTCAGGGTCATGAGACATTTGTGGGAGTCTCTGATCTCAGAATCCTTGTGCTCCAAATGCAGTGGTAATGTATCAGTGACAATATTCCGATTGTTAGGAGACTCCTGAATTTTGACTGTGTGATTTTGACTATTGTGCATCTATGTGGTAAAATACAGGCCTAACACAAAGCCCATTAAATTTTACTAAAGTCTAGCCATCAGCCTCAGTGGATTTTGGATTAGGCCACATATGTGCAGGCAGCTCCTACTGAACGCAGAGAAGACAGCAGAATTTTCCAAAAGCAGGATGAAATAAATGACGACGGTAGTAGTATATGTATGTGCAAAGGGAAATGTAGTCAGCATGAAACCACAGGAAGCTTATTAAAACTTTGCCATATGTTGGTAATGAAAACATATTGGGCTAATGTGAATATGCAAATATAGTCAGTGGAGCAGAATTAATCCCTCAAAAATGTATTAAATATTTTTTAAAATAATTTTTGGATCTGTGTCCTGGCTTTTTGGGTTTACTTTCCTCAAATGTTTTAGCAAAGAGGTTTGCTTACAGCAGTATTCATATTTTAACCACATGTTCAAAAATATTTGCTAAAAATATATTTTTAGTAAATAATAATAATAAATGCATAAGTTTGCATTAGAAACCAAGCTGCAAAAGTTGTGCTAAGTCTGGTCAGAGAACACAAGTAATACTAGGTGGTGAATGCTACTACTAATGACAACTAACTAAAGCAGCTTTAACTTTGAGTGTCACATACCTGCACCGAACCTGTTATTAGGTGGTTTATTGTTATCAGAGGTGGTCATCAAACAGTTTGGGTACCTTTGACGAAATAAGCTGTTTGATTCCTATCATGCAGAGAGAATATGTGGGAAATAATTATTCACTGAGAGTTACTTACTTATCTCTAGTCAAAATTAAAAAGGAGAAATATCACAGCATATTAAGAAAGTTTAGGAAATAGAATCTGCTCTGCTTAGTGCAGTGCTGAATAATGCTCAGCTGTTAAAGAAGAGGGCAAAAATTAAAAAGATTCCCCACACCAGAAGAGCTTTAAAAAGGAAAAGCAGTGTGACAAGCAGGTTCATGTCTCCAAGGAGTAGACTGGCCTCCTTCCATGTTTTTTTGTTTTTGAGGGCTTCTTCTCAGACCTGATTTTGCTAAAAGAAAGCAGCTAAAATAAAGGAGGAGAAGAAAGCAAGTAGCTGGTGGACATCTCTGCCAAATTTGCAAGTAAAGGAAAGCGCACAGCAAATGCTATGGGAAAACCTACTGGTAGGAGTTAGCAGTGAAGCCTTAAGAGGTTGTAGAGAACAGAGATGACTGCAGTTCTCCGTGTTGCCAGGCTACAGTAGCCACCTAGCAGTAGTGATAGTAGAGCAGAGCACAAAATGAACACAGTGTAATTCAGACTTAGCAGTCACAGCTGAGAAAACTGAGTTAGTTTTAAGGACGATTTGCTTGAAAATAAATGCACATAATGTCTGTGCTGATATAACTAATTCTACCAAAAAGGATCTGCTGGCCTTAGCTAATTAATATCTTACCAAAGTCAAATTAGAGCTAATAATGAGAGCCCGAAGCACAGTACAAGCTTATCACTGCCCCTACTGAAACGAAGCACAGTACAAGCTTATCACTGCCCCTACTGAAACATGTCTGCCAGCGAGCACCTCCATTGCACAGCTAGGTGAAGGTTTTTCAATTAAGTCGTCAAATAATGAGAAGCCTGTCTAATTCAACAAACCGACGCCTCCGTCTGTCCTTCAAAGCTCCCTGAAAAAAGGGAATTGAATTTTGACTCCCGTTGTGCTTTCTCAGAACCTGAAACACAAGCGAAAAACAAGCCGGCGAGGCCCTGGAAGCCGGCGCTCCGGTGTGGGCACAGCAGGCAACTGCCTGTTCTGTTGAGCCAGAAGACAAGCAGCGATGGCATAGGTAAAGGGGAAGCCAAATGTTGCAACGCCTGGAGAGCGCGTACGCCGCTGAAAATCCACGAAGCAATTCGTTTTTAAACTGTTTTGTGGCAAGAACTGAGCTACTGAGCTGGGCGCAAAAGGAGCCTGGAAAATGTAATTTATGCTTCTCTTTGCACTGAACTGTTGTCAATATTCATAATACTTGCAGTTTTGGGGGAAAAAAACCCAGTTGTTTTGGCTGGTAGTTTGGAATAGAAAACTAACTTTAAGGCAGTTTTCTGCACGGAGAAAATTAGAATCCGGCTACTGCTCTGCTGCAGAACGTGCTTTTGTTGCTGAAAAACTGCTACGCTGCAAAGTTTTCAGGAGGCGCACAGTGTTGCTGGAGTATAAACTGAAAAGAAACGCCTAGGTAATTGATGGTGGATTTCAGTGAATGAGCTTAAAAAATGAGACATGGGGTTTCACCATCAATGGCAAAATATTGCCATGGCAATGGGTAGCTTTGCCAGCAAACAAACAACAACAGGCCTTTTCTCTTTCAGCGAAAAGTTAGAGAGTTTGCCGTTCTCACCTCAGCAGAAGTTTGTGCCACCCAACGTCCCGGAGGGATCAGTTCCCGAGGCGGAAAGGTAGCGCACCCTACTTAGGCAAGTACCAAAACCCAGCTGCCCTCTCAGTACTACCGTTACATCATTTCCACAGCAAGGAGTAACCTCTATGCCCATGGGAAAGTGGCACCGTTTGCCTCGTAGTGATTTCGGTGCGTTGGTGACTGTAGTCCTGTGCCATTTTCTTCTGGAGGGTGGAAGGGCTCAGAATTACGGCAGCTTTTTGTCACCCCTGGCCGAAGTGAATCCCGCTTCCGGAGAGACGGCTGACACGGAAGATTTTATCATGAGCAAAAATGTGGGTCTGCACTTGAATTAATAAAGAAAGAGCTTTAAAAAAAAAAACAAAAACCCCAAGCCCACACCGAGAGAGAGAGAGCACTGAGAAAGCGAGAGCTGCCGTTTCCTCCCCAGGCAGGGGTGCGGGGAGGGGACAGTGCGGATGCACCGGCGCAGGGGTCCTCTCCCAGCAGGGGCTTCAGAGGTGGCCTCTGCCTCTAAAAACTTTGGGCACCTTTCCAGGCATCCGGAGCGCCTTGGAGAAAGCAGTTCCCACCATTTGGTGTGAGCTTAGTGGGTCCAGAGCCGCCTCTCAGCCCCAGCGAGAGGGATCAGCGCCACAGCCCAGGTGAGGATCCGCTCTCAGCGGGGGCCTCCCTCGTGTCCGTATACTACATTTCTTGCAGCTTTGCAGGCTGCTGTCCCTCTTTGCCATCTTCTACCCATAGCAGCCGAATTCCCTGCTGGGCACGCGTATCTGGGTATGTGCTAGGGCCTTGTTGGCACCGTTTTTGATGAAGCAAGACACAAACTGTGTTAAACTCTCTGTACCACCGGGTTGACCCTAATACAATCTTGTGATTGTATAATGCCTTCAGTCGCACTGAGGAAGTGTTAAGACCTATTACAGTTTGCAAAACTCTTCTAATAGGAATCTTATATCAGAAAAAAAAAAAAACCTCCTATATGGATTTCTAACTATTTGGCATTCATTACTTTTGCCTTACCGTTCTTTATGTTATAACACTTAGGTGCTGCTTATCTTTTGTAAGTCCCTATAAAATATTTAATACAGTTTACTGTAAAGTCTTCAGGGTGAGGACTGTGTTTTACAGAGTGTTTGTGCTGCACCTCGTACCAGTCCCAATTGCAGCCTCCAGGCAGTATTGTACGTGTTTTATTGCCATCAAGGTTTGTCCATATCGTGTCGTTTTTCACATAAGGTCTGCTCTTAACTGTAGCTGTACTATAGCTAGTGTTTAAATAACATTTTCTTTCATGTAAAATGATCAGACCAGTCTCCAAGCAAATCAATTTTTGAACTTGAATTTTTAATTAATATTATCCGTTCTGAACTGTGCTTGATCCACTTTATTTAACAAGCTCAGAAAACATGCACTAAATAAGAGTAGGTTTTTTCCCTCAGAAATGTAGTTTGAGGGCTATTTTGCATGACAAAATATTTTGTTTAGGCATGACAGTTGTAGGCATTCTCTCATACGTTATAATGTTTTCCATGTGTGGCAGCTTGTTTTTCAGCGGCACAAATATGTGCAATAAGGGCTACGGATAAAAACTAATCTAACAGCTTGTGCAGCAATGCTTTTGATGGTTCCCCTTGATTCATTTTCCAGGAGATGCTGGCTTTAGTTCTTCTGCTGCTCGCAATCTGTAAAGCACCATTCTCAGAGGTTTGTGAGGTTGTAGGGATCCAGTAAACGATGACTGATTTCTCCCCACACACGCACGTATACTCCACCCCACACCCACTCACCCACCCACCAGCAAAACATAATGCTGTACTATTTTTGGTAACAGGGAAAGGGCCTCCCTGTGAAAACAGAAAGCAGTGTGTTTCTCAGTTACATCACTTTGCAATCTAATGCTGTGTTGTGCTCAGTGTTTTTGTGGTGATGCAAGTCTTTTTTTTTTTTTTTTTCTTCTCCCTTCAGCCGGTTGGATTTTCCCCATCTTACAGCACCTCGCAGGTCTCTGCTCTGAGCAGTACGTTGCCTGAGTGAGTGGAAACATACAGATCAGCTGCAGGTTTCTGTCTACAAAAACAGAGTGAAAGAGAAAGAAAAGGGTTGGGAAAGCAGAGACAAATATTGACCTGGACTTATAGAAAGACATCCAATGGCTGAATAAAGAACCCCTGTTCATGTTTTGGGATATTCTTTCAACTGGCTGGAACGAGAGCAGATCAAAAGAATGGGAAATGCCAGCAGACCCTTTAGAAGAATTGCTTATTTCTTATGCCTTTTATCTGTGCTTTTGCTGACTGAAGGGAAGAAACCAGTGAAGCCAAAATGTCCTGCCTGGTGTACTTGTACCAAAGATAATGCTTTATGTGAAAATGCCAGATCTATTCCTCGCAGCGTTCCGCCTGATGTTATCTCACTGTAAGGGCTGTAAGCATTTGGTTATTTAATTTATGATTTAAAATGAACTCGGATGTGTGGTGTTTTCAGTGCATTCTGAAAGATGCTTGCTGCAGGGAGTACCTCCAGCATTCACAGTCATCAGCTAATGTGTTAAAATTGTGCTGCATCCTTGAATCCTGATTTTTACATCTCTTTCATCTGTCTGTCTGTCTGTGTGTGTGCACACATACCATTTTATACCTTTTTCTATACTACATGAAACCTGTAACATTTTCCTTTTTTCTTTTTTCTTTGCAGTACTTATGTAAATAAATTTCTCTGTGATGCCCAAATCGGTATTATAGCCACGAGTATATGAGTCTACATTAACATAAGGTTGTTTTTTTCTTCTTTCCAGATCCTTTGTGAGATCTGCTTTTACTAAAATCCCAGAAGGGAGTTTTTTGCTCACACCATCTCTGCAGCTTCTGTGAGAAATATTTATATAATTTTTTTTGTTGTGAAATGTAAATGTGTCCATGAATACTATAGAAAGGGTGTCAGCATTAATTTTAAAAGAAATAGCAAGAGAAGATTCATTCGATGACAAAATACAAGAGTTTTGAGTAATTTGAATGATAGTGCATGTTTAATTTTTTCAAACTGTATGTACTTACTTAGTGTTTTGCAAGGATATTTGTTGTCAGTGCTACTTTGAATGGTTACGTTCTGAAGCTTTCTGTGACAGAACATATGTTATCTTTATTATACTTTAATTAATATGACAGTAGGGATCTGAGCATTGCAACAACTATTCCAGTTTCTTTTCTGCAGTCCTAGGGCCTGATCCCAGTCAAACGCTGCCCGTTTGCAACTCTCCCCGACTGCAACCTCAGAACCTCTCAGGTCAGGCCCTTAATTTCGGTGGGACAGGTCCTGCAGTCCTTTTTCATGTAAAACTGCCGTTGCCTTCTGTGGAAGTTTAGTCACTTCAGCGGGAGTTTTATCTGGACAGGGCCTGGATTTGACCCTGTTTGTTTTTTCATGTTCTTTGAAAATATACAAAAGTAGGGAAGATTTGAATTCAATCAAACATTTTAAGCAGTTATTTCAGAATTAAATAGAGTGAGGAGGTATACAGAAGATGAGAATATTTTTGCATGTTTAAATATTAAATTCGTTTTTGTGTCAGATTTTTACAGGTTCACAGGCTTTCTAGAAATGTGGGCATATGATTATATAATTGCTAGCTCTACAAAGGTAGAGGGGGTGTAACCTGAACTGTTTATAGCGGATGTGCTACCAGGCTGAAACACATCCAGATTCGTCTCAGAAATCTGGCAAGAAAGACTCCCTGATATGATCAAAATCAAAATTAGACATCTGTCCCAGACTGACTTCACATGCACCCTCGATTTTCAGAAGCGTAACGTTGATATAGTGGAGCCCTAAGGCTGTCACATTAAACTGTTGGTGCGCGGGTAGCTGAAGCCCTGACCCTAGCTGTACTCTGCTACCTCAAGTGGAGCGGATAAGGAGGTGCAGACATACTGTACAATTTTGGATACAGGGTAAATAGGTAAATGTAGTTACTATGGAAACCTAAATGCTTTTCTATTGTGCTTTAATGCTGAGACGATTTTCCAAGGTGGTCACGAAAGGGACAAATCTCACATAATTCCTGCAGCGTGCCTTTCAAAGGAAAGAAAAAAGAAATGGCAGCATTTGTACTGTGCTTGTGCCTGGAGAGAGTGAGTAGGACATCATAATCATCTCTCTTGGCTACGATATGCCACCTACGCTTAGCAGTCCCACTGCTAGCGAAGGCAGGATTGGGTAGGGTGGAGCAGAACAGACGCATTCTTTTGATTTTGAGTTTATCTAGTGCCCAGCACAGTGGGGTCTTAGTCTCTGGCGCTGGCTTTTGGCATTTCGGTGATAGTAATAATCTGCATGGTCTGCCTTTCCCTTCACTGAAATGCATGCTCTAAGCTGCTGCTAATAAAGTGCTGCAACAAAGGCAGAAGAGCAGTTTTTGCTCCATGATGAGCTTTCACAAGCGACATGTTAAAATGGTGCAAACAATTCACAGATTACTTACTTCTTCTACCTAGCATTTCTCAAATTATTACTGAATACTTTTCCAGATATATTTCTAACATGGTAGCTGAGCTGCTTGCCATCTTTGGAAAGTGTCAGGCTTTGGATCTAAGACAAATGGGCCCTCGTTAAATACGGCACATAGAAGCAGGATTGTAGCTGTGGGGCCAACACTCCGCTCTGTAAGCGGGAAAGAAAAAACGCCACATTTGGAAGAAGACAGAGTAAGCAAAATAAGAATATGTATGCAAAACTCAGGGTAATTAAAAATTAAACTAAGTTTCAGCTTGGCATAGTTATAGCTGTATTGGTAGGTTTAATTTAGCCAATAGCAAGATTTAGCAGCCTAGCCGTATTTTTTATGTAATAGTCTCCAGCATAATGTTTTTAAGGTCCAAATGTTAACTTGGTATCTCCAGGATGCCAGACATATTTCTGAGCGCGGAATACATCTGCCTCTATTACTATTTACGATGATTTTTACTGTAGTAGTGGCAATGGTCTGTAGAAAAATCATGGTCCTACTGTGCTAACCGCTGTGCAGAAGTCCCATTTCAGTCCGTCTAGAAAAGCAGCGCAGAGTGTTCAGGACAGGAGAGCCTTGCTTCTTTGAGGGATGGTACGATCTGTGCTCTTCATGTGACAAGAACAACATGAACAACCTACACAGATACGGTGAAGTGTCAAGCAGCAGCGTTCCCTAAGCGTAGACAAAATCTCCCTCCGTTGCTCTCCAGCACATGTAACCCTGTGTATCGTGCAATGTGCCGAGGGGGCCCTTGTAAACCGATGACCTGAAAACACCTAAGAGGGGAGGTAACTGTGGCGCTCGAATTTGTACCTGCTAACAGCACATGGTTCCTGCTAAGCAATGCAGTCCCTAGCTGCAGGGCAGTACCTCGAGCCTCTGCCCCCACCCCAGAAGGAGCTAGTTGGTGGATCCCAGATGAGGCAAACCTGGCCTTTAAGGTCACCGCGTGCGAGAAAAGCCACTTTGTGCATCATGTAAATGTGAGACAGCCATCAGAGCAAAGGGGGGAAGGTGTGAGATGGGAGGCAAATGAGCTCACTGAGTGCAAGACCTATGCTATAAGCCTGGTGATCTCTGAAGCTATTACACTATTTAAACTACTATGCTATTTAAAGAGATACTACTCTATTCTTGTGAATTACAAGGAGGGAAGAGTGCAGAAAAATAAGAATTACCCAGCGAAACCTCATCAGAAAAGTAAAATTAATTGCAGGCAGCCGATTTACTAAATGGGTCTTCTGGTCCAGAGATTTTATAGAAATACTTATTTTCTCTAAGAAAGAGAAGTATTTGTTGTGTCTGACAAAGGGGAAGACTTTCCTGCTTATATTTTTGTAAAGATATAGGAACACATTTTAAATGCAAAAAGCATAGTTTGCAATAGCCGAGCAAGAAAATAAATCAAGTGAAATTTATTTTTGAGGCAAAGTTCAATAGAAGAGATTAATTCATTAAGTGTATTGAAATCTTGAATCACTGAATGCCTGGGGACGTTGTCATGTAAGTCCATGTATCCATCAGGCCCAACTGAATAAAATATGCATGTGCATCTATTGTTCCACTGGGGAAAGTAAAGTTTGCCTTACTTGACGATGCCTCACCATGTTAAGGGTGTGGCAGGCCAGAGCTGAATTAAAATGGACAAATGCAAACATAGCTGAATCATAAGTAAGGCTGGAAAAATCAATGCTAGTCCATTTTTAATGGCTACAAGATGACGTGAAATTAACCATCTTGCTAGTATTTTTACAGCTAGACAGGTGAAAAATATATGTGCACACTAAGAGCTATCTCCAACAGGTAAAGTGTGGTCTTAAAAATAGTTCTGAGTTGAACACTGACTAAATTAAAATGACAATAAGAGATTTTCCATTTTTTCCCTCAGTGACTTCTCCGTACCCTCAGGTCATATAAGCTCACAATATAGCTTGTAAGTTAAAGGTTTATCTTACCCGCCAGCCGTACAAATTCAACCTGATGTCTAGCTAACAAGCTGGATACTTGTCTTATGTTGGCGTCAAAAGTAAGTGTTCTTCCACACAGTTTAGGCTTCTGTGGTATTTGGACATTTCACTGTCACCCGGGTATGTCTTCACTGACTGTTGTGCAATCCTGCTGTTCTAAAGGCATGATAAACCCACGCTTACATCCCACAGAAGTCAATGGAATTTTATCAGGTGGCCCCAGTCTGCAAAGCAACGAGTTGTTGGGTCCTTTGGAAATCTTCCATTTGCAACAGACTAAAGGTGCAATATATCGGCAGTGTGTTGCAGCCTTATGATCCTGTAGTGCTTACACAGACAAAACACAAAACCGGTCAATAGAAGTTTGGCCTACGTTGGCTTGCTGGACCATTTTCTAAAGGTGCTAATAACCTAACAGTGTTTTGTTTTGCATCTCTTTACACAGGTTGTTTACATCAAACACTTTTGATGTTATTAGTGATGATGCTTTCATGGGCCTTCCTCATCTAGAATATTTGTGAGTGGACAAAATGATATTTCCTGGCATTATTGAATAGAGTGGGTGGGCTTCCAAGTTCCAGGCATTGCTTTGACCAGAATGACTTTACGACCCATTACAGGTTCATAGAGAACAACAGCATTAAGTCAATTTCAAGAAATACTTTCAGAGGACTGAAATCTTTAATTCACCTGTAAGTAAAAGTGGTTGAATATATTTACTTGGTATATTTAATATAGTAACTGAACCACTGTGTTGTTTAATTTAGCATTCTGATATATCACCATTCACATTTGTTTAAGCGATATTAATATTCATTTAATTTGACTGTTAATCTTTGTGTCTCCACCAAAGACTTCCAAACTGTGCTATGTATAGAAGGATGGTTCCCAAACAGCTCCCAAGCAGTGTACGGCCATAACTCCCTGACTTTCTCTGCTCAGAGCTTGGAGGAGCAGGGAGAAAGCAGGATGGGTCGGGAAACTGGCACTGATGAGGTGAGATAGGAGAGCGAGGGAATGGGTTTGAGTCCCCGTTTGGGACTCAGCGAGGAAAAAGGTGGAGCTGAGGGGTGGAAGGGTGTCTCTTCTCAAGTATGTCTAGTGTGGATCCGGGAGCACATTACTGCCATTGCTGGGGACCAGCTACCACCGTCTGTAGCTGCATCCACCTCAAGCACTGCCCATACTCAGCAGATTTTGATCCAATCAAGTTTGGAAATTCCTACACTTAGCAATTTTAAATATGAGAGTTGCACCAATTCTCTGTCTGTTATGAGTTACCGATCCAGTTCTTCCCCATAGCTTTATGGCAAAATCAGCCATTAGACTTCAGCAGAAGCGGCAACAGAGCCCTACGCTGCTGCCCCCGTCCTCTCCCACGCACCAGCTAGCACAGTCCCTGATCGGGGTCTGCGAGTCCCCCGAGCGCCAACACCAGGGCCTGCTTAGCATCCCCCCTGCTGCCACGCAGCCGTTCGGCTCTCTGGAAGCATAGCCAGACCCTCGCCCTCGGACACGCCGCTGGCCCCTCGCTGCGGCAGCGGCGAGGCTAAATCAGCCACAGGAGCTCTCTGTACTAATGCGGCTCTTAGAAGCAAAGCTTCCCATGGGCAGATTGGCAGAGGTATCTCGCCCGCTGCGCGCAGGAGGTGAAACACACACCGGCAAGGAGTACCTGTGACGTTTAACTGCAAATACAAGAGTGGCATCCTCAAGGTCTGATCTAGCAAGGGAGTTTTTAAATAGGCTTCTATCTTTGCTGTTAGGTCAGGTTTATGTTCTATCAGTTTTATTTTCACAAGTGGTAAATGTATTAAAAATACAATGTACACTCGAAAACAACATTAAAAATACAAAATACAGTAAGAGAAGGAGGCTGGGTTATATAATGCACTTCCTATACATGGGCTAAATCGGCACACATGGGTTGTGCCTGACACGGATTTATACCCAGCTCTGAGCATTTGCATTTGCAAGCATATATCTTGGGGTATTTGTCATAGGCCGGGGAGTGGATCCTGACCTTTTTGCTTTAACATAATAACCTCCAAGATGGATTTGAAACAGGATCATTTAGTTTTTTCTTTCATAAATCTAGACATAGGAGAAAGCAGAGATTCAACTTTAAACAGTTAATGCTTAAGTATAATAGCTTAACTGCAATTCACCAAATACTGCACCGCATAGTAAATGTACCATAAAACCCTTTACTGTTCCCTTTTCGGTCAGAATGGACTAGACTCTCAACTCGCGGAAACAGAGTTTACCGTGACTACTCACATATATAAGGTTATTTATAGAAAGCCTCAAAATCCATATTATAGGTATAGGCATAATTATAGTATCGTTAGAAAAGGGAGATAACAGGATAAGGTTGGTAACTGAGACCCTATCTTCAAAATATTTATGCGCATGAATAGCTCTATATTCACAGAAGGTTCCAGTACATTATTTATTATATCCATTTATTTATTTAGTAGCTGTTACTGCCAGTGAGCAAATTGCTTTTCTAACACAGAGGTAGACACAGCTCCTTCTCCACAGAGCATACAGTCCAAGAGTAACATCTTGTCTTGACTGCTGTGTTGGTTTCTGGGGATGCTTCAACAGTTTCGAAAGAGAAACCATATGCAAAAGATAGAATCACGTTTGAGAAGCCATTATGGTTTGCATGTGCTTGCACGCACATTTTTGGGAGATAGATATATGCATCATGCTGCTGTTGCACATGGAGTGCTATTCATGAGGATAATGAGAATTTTTCAGACAAAATAACTGCAAAAGCAGGTCCATAAACAACAGAATGTGACTAGTTCAATCTCTTTGCAGAGCTGCTCCCCTCCCTTTGGGACAGATTGTACATGCAAATTAAGAATAATCGTTTGGCCTTCTGAGGCATTTCTCATTTGAGAAACAGGAGAGTACTTTTGATACATTAAAATATATTAAGAAGAATCAGAGTAAATAAGGTAGAGGAGAAGGTACCATGAAGGTAGAGGAGAATGTGAACTTTGTTCTATTTAATCTGTTCACTTCCTTCTCACAACATAATTTTTGCAATGCAGCGAACTATCCAAACATTTGTAGTTTCATTATGCAATTCACTTTAATAATTACATTGTGTCCTCCTTGTAAAATAGAGCCATCCAGTATTTATTGTTATGCACCATAATTAATTTGCTGTTTTGATTAGATTTAAGAAAAAAATTAACACAATTGTGTTTTTCTACTAATTTACTAATTTAATGTCAAAATCTTACATTTAGGGTTGGGAAATAATTTCTACGCATTTCTTTCGAATTGCAAAATATGTGTCCCTAAGTATAACTGCATGCTCGACTCAGCTATTATTCTTAATAGTTATCAACCGAGTACTATGCAAAGCACCATCTAGACATGACAATATGTTTTCTAACATATAGGTATGCTTTCTACATGGAATACAAAATGCACAATTTTAATCCAAAAATTGGCAAATATATAAACCTTGCGTACTTTTTCTTTCAGTCAGGTTCCCGTGGCAGTGGTGAACCACTGGCACTTCCTAGTCTATCATCCCTTTCAGTTTGATATAAATACCAAGTCATAAACAATATATAGGGTGCTGAACCTGTAGGCCTGCAAGCCTACTTAGCTTTGTTCATATGAGTTTAGCTGACTTTTAGAGAATTGCTCTTGCGTGTAAAACTAAGCGTAAGTGAAGCACATGATACATATACCAAGTAATGTTGCAGTCGGATATACTTTGAAAACAGTGAAGTAAGAATAGAATAATAGAATCCCAAATTTATTATTCCTGATAAAGCAAAGAGCACTTAATTTTAAATGATGCAGTAGACCCACTGGCTTCAGAAGTAGGTCTGTATCTGGGCTTGAATTTAAGTATATGCCTAAGTGGCTTTACTTGGGTAGAGAAATTGTAGTTAAGTACATTTTGGGTTTACAAGTAAAAATTGAAGCTTTTCCAAATCTTACTAGCTAACTAGGATCTTATAGGAGAATTTCTTTCCATTTTCATTTCTTCTCATCAATAATAATTTTGTTAATCATAGGAGGCCTAAACTATACCCTGTAACATTATTCTCTTCCTGTCATGCCCTCTGTGACACCTAGAAGAACCCAGGATCTTTGGTGGACTTGCACAGACATTCCTGAATGAAATTTAATATATTCTTTGTTTAAAGCCTGCTCACATGTCCTTCTCACTCTTACTAGCTGGACTAGTCATTGAGTTGAAGATTGATTTAAAAATAGGGAATTAAGAACTATTTTTGCTGGTTACACACAGACACACACACACATACATGTTCCAGGAAAGAAATTCATGCTGATCAACAATTTCTTGTCTATTACTGCATATTTGCAAAAAAATAGGAACTAAAGAAGCCTAAGTTCAATAGAATGAAACCTAGTACTAAGATTTTGATTTTGCTTCCAGCAGAGAGAAAAGAAAGCAGAAGATTGCAGTAATATGAATGCTACGCATTGGTATCTCATACGGAAAACATTAGTAGATCCAATCATGACTAATTGTTTTAAAATAATGGTGTTGGCAAAACACCAGAGGTGATTGCACTTTTTACCCCGCTAAGTGAAGCATTGTAAATGCTATAAGGCTGCTGAAGAGTCAAGAAAGCAGGAGGAGGCATGATATTTTAGTGGAAGAAAGAGTCACAAAGTAAATGAGCTATTCTTGAAAGCAGTCTTCTAGAACTAAGTGCTGGAGAATACTAGGGTTCTTTATTTTATGAAAACAAAAAAGCCAATAAAACCCAGCCTTACACCTCGCACAAATGTGTAATTTGATGAGCTAGCACTGATACTGAAATATCTTCTTTTACAGGAGTCTTGCAAATAATAATCTCCAAACGCTTCCAAAAGACATATTCAAAGGCTTGGATTCTTTAACGAATGTGTAAGAAATCATCACTTTCTTATTATCAAACACTAATTAGAAAAGAAAAAGAAAACAGGCTGTTCCCTTTTCATGACTGGAAGAGATTGCAAAATATTTTGGTTTGGTATTTTTGTTAATCTTCAATTCTTAAACTATTAATTATACCAAAAAATACAAAAGAGGCATCTTTGGAAGACCATTCAAGCCAATAATCATTAATGGGACCTCCTTATTGTTGAATAGAGATTATAGAAGCAAATATAGGCTTGATTTTTGTCTAATGTTGTGACCGTTTGTTTTAGTTTTGTAATATTTCACTAGTTACAAAGATAAGTAATATTGTTAGTAATTATGTAAGAGATCCGCGTATTTGTGAAGACTTATTGAAAAAGAAGGAAACATCCTTGGGAATGCCTGAGAGAGCATGACAGGAGGGATGGGGGGAGGTGTTTCATGGAAGTAACGTTTCTGACGTCCAAATATTTCTGGGAAGGCTGTCTTTTATCACAAAAGTTTCAGTGTCTTAATAAGTGCCATATCCCATACTAAATCTAACTGCAACCACCCTAAAACATGAACTTGTTTACACATATAACTTAAATATGAGTAAAAATACAAAATATAAACAAGCAGATAAATCCTATAGTTGCTTCACTGAAATATGGCCTGTTTACAATATGCTAGTTTCTGGTTCACCTGACTCGGGGTGATGGGTGCAGAACACCCTCTGTCTGCTCCCTGTATGAGCACGGCGGGCTGAATTCACACCGCAGAGCTGCAGGAGGAGGTTGTGGAGACGGCCAGTGTATCTAGCAGCATTGCTTGGCATGACTGATCCCAGCCAGCTGGTCACGCAGTCAGGTCCTGGCACTTCCCCATTCCTATACATACTTTCTGAAATGTGATGGAAGACAACTGTAAAAGACTTAACAGAATTCCTTTGCTTGTGTCTCCTAAAACCCTAAATGATGTCTTCTAACGGAGAGAGCAAATACTGACTGACAGTGTACATTAATGGCTATTTTGTTTTCTGCAATGCTCTTGCTAAGATTTCCTTAACAAAATTAAATCTCTTTAGGTTCTGGTATGTAGATTTCACTAACTGTAGGATCTCTGATGGGTCAGGACAAATTAGGCCAGGGAAGTACCAATTCAGAAAAAGCAAGAGGGCACATATTTAACAAGAGCCCAATTTGTTGTTGTCCTGCAAGGAGAAATACAACAGCTAACTACCTATTTTCAATGCATGATTTATTTTTTGTAGGGATCTTAGAGGAAATGCATTTAATTGTGACTGCAAACTGAAGTGGTTAGTGGAATGGCTGGGTAGCACCAATGCAACAGTTGAAGACATTTACTGTGAAAGCCCACCAGAATATAAGAAGCGCAAAATCAATAGCCTCTCTCCAAAAGAATTTGATTGCATTATTACAGGTAATGTGCTTCCAATTATTTAATCTTGTTAAATTAAAATCAAAGCTTTCTATTTTTTTTAATATAGGGTCCATGTTTGCAATAAGGCTGCCTATCTGATGGACCTTTCACTAAAATCAACATGAATTCTGTGCGGGTGTAAGTCTGACATGGGAACAATTTGGGAGTGGGGTCTTGCAGCTTGTACTCAGACTTTAATATGTTATATAAGAACTTGAAGAACTGGGACATACAATAATAGCTCTTTTAATTGAGCAAGAATGAAAAGCAGGTTGTAGTGCTCCTTCATCAATAAGCAAATTGGACTAGTGATTAAATAATGTGATTTGTAATAGATTGTTAAGTAGATGTGCTTTCAGTACAGCAGGGAAAGTATCTCTCTGTACAATTATCATGTGTTGTGTGTGTGTGCGCTTTTGCAGAGTTTGAAGTTTATCAGTCCCTGCCATATCAATCTCTGTCAGTAGACACTTTCTCATACATGAATGATGAGCATGTGGTTATTGCCCAGCCTTTTACTGGAAAATGCATTTTTCTTGAATGGGACCATGTAGAAGTGATGTTCAGGAATTATGACAACATTACAGGTATGAACAGTGCTTGCCAAATAACATTATGACACATGATGCAGAAAGTGGTGCTAACTGTGTCTTTTACTTTTATTCTTTATAGGTACTTCAACTGTTGTGTGTAAACCTATAGTTATTGAGAGTCAGCTGTATGTCATTGTCGCGCAGCTGTTTGGAGGCTCCCACATATATAAAAGAGATATTTTTGCTAATAAGTTTATAAAAATTCAAGATATTGAAATCCTTAAAATCCGAAAACCCAATGACATTGAAACTTTCAGGATTGCTGAAGACTGGTATTTTGTTGTTGCAGACAGTTCGAAAGCTGGTTTCACCACTGTTTACAAATGGAATGGGAATGGATTTTATTCCCATCAGTCTCTGCATGCCTGGTACAGAGATACTGATGTGGAGTATCTTGAAATATCCGGCAAACCACATTTAATTCTATCAAGTAGTTCCCAAAGACCTGTAATATATCAATGGAACAAAGGAACAAATGAATTTGTTAAGCGTTTCGATATCCAAGATATGGAAGATGCATATGCAGTGAAACATTTCAAAGTGAAAGAGGATGTGTACATTTGTTTAACAAGATTTATTGGGGACTCTAAAGTAATGAAATGGGGTGGTTCAGCATTCCTGGATTTACAAAGGATGCCATCCCGAGGGTCAATGGTATTCCAACCACTTCAGATAAGTAATTATCAATATGCCATTCTTGGAAGTGATTATTCTTTCACTCAAGTCTATTATTGGGATGCTGAAAAAGCAAAATTTGTGAAGTTTCAAGAATTAAACATACAGGCACCAAGATCTTTCATACATGTCTCCATCGATAAACGAGATTTTCTCTTTGCTTCAAGTTTTAAGGGAACTACACTGATTTATAAACATGTCATAGTTGACTTAAGCGCATGACACTCCTAATTCTGAGATTACATCAGACTTTCTACCATAAGTGGACAAAATGAACTAAATGCATGATGACTCTCTTATCTTACTTCCAAATGAATGCCTTTAAAAGTTGAGATTGCTAGAACAAAGTATTACTAGTATCTTCATCTTTAATTGTCAAGTCTAGTGGTGTTGGAAGTTGCATTTTTTAACAAAAAGAAATTAAATTAACTGTTCTTTGCATCCACAGTATGTAAATATGTGTGCAACTGCATCTGTTGCTATAAAGAATATTAAGATGTAATTTTCCATTTATTTATTCACCTGTTTGAAACAACTGCCAAATAAAATGTTTACATTTTGTGTCTTTCACATTCCAAATGTTATTTGCAGATGATACTTTTTATTTGTGTATATACTATACACATATAAAATAAACCCAAACAGGCATACTGCAGTGTTGTACTGCATGGAAGATGCACAATATTAAAGATCAGGTGTTTTTTACATATAATCAGAAGTTCTCAATAAAAATATAGCATTTAACCCCAATCCTATAAACAATCACCTAGACAGATCCTTGCATTTATGTGGTGCTCCACTGGTTTAAACAGGACTCCACCCAGAGAAAAGGGTTTGGTTATACAGATCTGGTTGTAGGATGGGGCTTTGTATTGTGTGTAGTTGCAAGTGCTTGTTGTTGGTGGGGTTTTTTTAACTTACAGAGGAATCAACAGAATAAAAGCTGATATAAAGGCCTTTCTCCACCTCATGCTGAAGCAGCACAAAACAAATGTCTGGTATGACACTTGGGCCATCACTGTGCTGAAAGCTAGAAGCATAGCTTATTTCAGCTAGCATCATTTCTATATCTGAACCGTTACACACCACTTGCATGAATTCTTTGTATCTCTGTCAAGCCTTTCCACTGTAAGTCCAATTATTTGATCTTCAGTGAATTTCTCCATTCTTCTGAATGAGGCTACTGAATGTGAAGTCATTTTTTCCCCTATCCTGCAATGATGTTCAATAACAGATACTCTTGAAATTCAGGGAATTTTGAATGTGGCAGGACAAATTCAGTTGGTGTAGCACATGCAACTCCTAGGAGGCTACCTACGGCTGTTAAATTACAGCAGTTCTGAATTTGGCATGAAAATCTATTACAAACTCAAAGTTAAAATAGTCTTTTTTTTACATACATCTAGTGCATCACTCGTGAGACACCAACACCAACTTGCTGCTGAAGATCATTCAATGCAGCTCAGGAAGAGAGCATAGATGGATTTTAGACACCTTTGCGCTTCCCCTGTTAGGACATTATCAAACCTTGTACTTCAATGCCATCTTTAAATTACATACATGAACATCGTGTATGTTTATACACGTTTAACATTTCTAACATTCACAGTAGGAAGACTTTAATTGGCAAATAAGACTTTTCATCCTATGAGTGTCTTAGCTAATCCCACAAGCTGATCCTGCAAGCTGGGTGGCTCCCTATGTTCACAGAGGTCCCCAAGTGGCAGAGCAGTTTCAGCCTTAATTATTTTTCTTCTGTCTACTAGTGCTGCTCAGAGCACCTCTGAGTACAGCAGAAAAGCATCATTAAGCAAAATGACAGGTAATATATATTTTAAGAAGCTAATCCTAAACTGTATGCCTCTGTAGTAAAGAATATAGTATTTTACATTATATTTGATTCTAAAAGTAAGAAAAAACACCCCATGTGAACAATGCTACTCTAATAAATTAAGATGCACTGGAAATGTCAATTTTTAGTGCCTTTTGCTCCACAGCTGCCTATGCTCTGTTCAGTATTTGACTTAACTAGCTATTCCATATACACTCACAGTGCAACTAGACTTGAAATGGCCTCCAGATACTTTTCTTAACAAATAATTTCCCCAGATATCATCCTGATAAGCGATCACTAGCTTGACAGGTTTCCTTTATAAATTTTTAGCTTTTATATAGGTGTGATTTCAAAACCCAGATGAATCCAACTAACTTATTCTGCTATTTCTGAATGGTGGCTGCACAACTGTGATTGCCAGCTCAGTTTGTCCATCTCTTCTTCAATCCACCTTACAGGGCAAAAGAATGAAATAGAAGATCATGAACTGATCATGCGGTGTTTTCTACTTCGTCTTGTCTTTTGTTTTAGTCTTTTACTCAAGATCCTATTGAATTATGTTCACTAATTTTGATATGATTTCTCCCATTATAGGTACCTGCATGCACTTTCTATCCAATTATAAAAAGGATATGTATCCTTCTCATTATGGACATGTTATGGATGCATGGCTGAGTTTAAGTGGGGTTGGATAACTTTTGCTAATCTGCTGCCCACGTTTATTAAACAGTGTAGCATTTTTCAAACGCCACGTCCCAATATATTGCTTCACAATCACACCTTCAGAAGGTTATGCCTCATAGCATTATATTTCAGAGGCAGCCAGCTCCATCTCCTATGCTATACTGCTGTAATTGTTATCCTGACTTAACTTTTTTCTGAGTTATGGGAATTCACTCTTACACCTAGGTTTAAAGAAGGCGCTAAAAAGCCTGCAAGAGTGTGATTCACTAGAATTTGTAGTTCACAATACCTGTAAAACTAGCTATGGTACAGTCTAGGGTGGTATGGGATTAGTCTGTTGGGTTAGTCTACTACAGCATGCAACTGTGTTATCAGTCTGGCTGTTCCTTCAGGCACTAGTCAGGCACTAATACTTTGGGAAATTCTTTATGCCTGTGTAGTTTCTGGAAGGGCCAGCTAGTCACTGTAAAATGCTGAATCTAAATTTGTTTTCCTTGGAAAATCGCTTTTTATAGTCAATTTATGTCAGCCTGAGTTTCAGAGGGACGACAGTCAGTTTATTATTGTGCAAGCGTAGCATTTCATTGCACCACATAAGGAATGGGGGTATTTTTGGAACAGAACACATGACAGTCAAACAATCCTTAACGTAGAAGAGAGTAGAGGCTCATTAGGTAACTCTCTATGCTGTTTCTTCCTAATTTCAGAGACTGGGCATTTTAACAACCCCTTTGAATATGAGGCCATATGCAATCCTCGTTCTTTGCTCAGAATTCCCTCCGGTATCAATGGAAGTCCCAGGCAAAAAAACAGAATAGGACTTTTTATCATATATATGTTTACACTTTTTAAAAAAATATTTTTTAAATCCTCTTCTTCCAGCACAGGATTTGTTACTTGTGGCTGACTGGTTGTACTCTGTGGTTGTAATGGATTTTCTAAGCTCCCTAATAGTTTTGTTTATGATTGACAGGGTATGTGAAGTACTAAAAGTACTCTAGTAGACCGTATTGAAGGTTATTAATGGATACTGCTGATCCTTGCTATTGCTTAGTCATTTTAATGTCTAAGACAGAAACAATTTTTAATGGAATTCCGTTGTATTCCTACAGCTACTTATTTATATTTTTAACAGACTACGAATATAAAAGAATATACTCTTCTCTGCTCTGGAAGTAATATATAGAATACATTCAGAATGCCTGTATTACACCATGTGTACCTTTTTTCTTTGCTTGATGTAATGTCTAGGATTTGCAGGTCTCTCTCTTTCTTCTTATTTTTATCTAAAAATACTCCAAAATGCACTTTCCACATACATTCACTAAGGAAAAATTTTGTTTCTGTAAGGTAAAAAAACAAACAGAAGTAGGGATAAATTATATTATATGGTGAATTCTGTTTGGTGTTGCGTTTTTATTGCAACTTCTCTGAATTCTTTTATTTTCATTTTTTAAACTTTATTTGAATGGTTGATAACAGCCATTCAAAGTGTACTTCAGGATGGGAAATAATTATTAGCAGAGTTAATAATATGTGTGATATGTTTTGATATGTTCTAGTGGGAAGCTAAATGTCTGTTTAACATTATTATTTATGTATATGATCATTCTGATATATTGTGTTAGTATGCAATGGAAAATAAAGACTATATGAACCATATAAATAACAAACAGTCCTTAGACTGTTGATAAACATTACTGGTTACAGCATCAAGAAAAATCAGGGAAGTCAGCACGTCCAAAATGTTAAAACTAGGGACAGACCACACTGCGTGTCAAGAGAGTCCTAGATTCTTCTGTTTCAAGGAAATATTTTCCTTACCACTGGACATATAACATGGTCCTTCTCCATGAAGGTCCCTGAAAGTCCACACAGTCACCCAGGTCTTGCAAAATATAAGCAAGAGACTCACAAACTTAACCTGCTGCATCTACAATCTCAGCTTGTGACAAACCCTTTCCCTCCTGGCAGGGCCTCGGTTGCGGGTGCTGCTCTCCTCAGCAGGCACCCACAGGGCAGTAAACATGCTGCTGGCCCCCAAAGGCCATGACAGCAGAAGGAAAGTCCCAGACCAAACAGAGCTGATAATTCACTTGGCTCTTGTCTTCCCAGCTGTCTAGCACACTTTCCCTCTGGTTTGTGCATATACATTGCAAACATCTGCAGACCGGAACGTGACAGTAAAGTTGTGATTTAGGCTTGTATTGATTGCAATGGCTAAATGTGTTTTTGTGCTCAGGAACTAACCCGTATGCGTGAGGGTCTCGGAGAGTTCAGTTTCATAAGACTGAGCTACTGCACACAGCCTGACTCTGTGCTAACGTTTAGGGTTTTTTTTTATTGCGTGTTACTGTCTTCTAACAGCTGGTGCTACTGGCATGTCGCTGTTTAGGGTTCGCTGTATCAAAGTGCTCAGACACCAACCCATTGCACAAGGGTTTTCCTGAAATGAACTGTGTCTCCAGAGAACTCCAGTGTGCTATACACAAGTGTTGCTGTATCGGTATGTGGAGACTCAGAATTTCTCCAGTTCGTTATGCTCGTGTAATACTTCTGTCTTCAAATTTGTTACAGCAGAGAGTAATTTGCTCCCAAATATGCATATTTGTACTAACATAATTTTTTATTTGTTCTCCAAATAAACTGAAGTGGATGATGATTCTCTATATGTATGTTACTATCCCAATCTCCCATTCAGCAAATCAACTTCTGATTTTAACTCAACTCAACTTAGTTTATGTTCCATATTGAATTATATGAATTGAAAAAGGACTTTCTGACCCATTCTCACTTTCTGTTTGAAAACCTGGCTAGTGACAGCAGTATGTTAACGAGTTGTCAACCTGCCCAGATGGTAAAAGTCCAATAACGCTGAAAGAGCTCAAGGATAAACAGGCTGATCTACTAACAGAACTACACAGAATACCCTTCATTAAAAAACATTTATGCACAAAAGAGCTGGAAGTAACAAATATTGCTTCTGTTTTTTAAAAAAAAGTTCCTGGGAAAATTAAGGGAATTTCAGACCACTGAGGTCTGCCCTTATATCTGGTCAGATACCTGAAATGATAATTGAAAATAGTAGTGTAAAATTTCATAAAAGAGTAGATAATTAAACAAGTGGGACAGGCTGACAAGTGTAATTCAGGGTTTGTAAATGCAAAATATACAGGAAAGAAATGCTCACAAGGTTTTAAATTAGTCCTAAAGAAAGGGAACTGGACATAGCTGTGGACAGCTCAGTAAGAAATGGACCTCCATGTACAACTGTAGCAAAAAGCAAGCAACGTGATACCATGTACAGAACAGCCTGGGGAATGCAACATATCACCGGATCCACTCCATCTCAAAAACACACTGCAGAATTATTAGATTCAGAGAAATGTGTAAAACTCACTGAAGGTGTGGAAAAATAATCAGAAAAGGAGAGAATGAAAATACTGGAACTGTATTTTGCTTAAAAGGGAGATATGGAGCAGATATGATGAAAACTATAAAATAACCTGTAGCACAGGAAAAGGATATCTGAAATTTTGTTCTCTTTGGCTCAATACAAGAACAAGATGGCTTTTGACTTTGGCAAACACCAAGCCATAAAAGAAAATACTTTCCCCCACAAAATTACACTGTGGCATTCATTGCAGTAGGCAGTTGTTGAGAACAAGTATATGACATTCAAAAAAACCAGTTACATGGACAAATTACATAACATTTTTAATTCTTATTTTTCAGCTTTTAAAATAATGTCTAGTTATTAGGGAAGAGGAGGTTCTTCGCACTTTTGCCAGAAGCATCTGGCTCTAGCTATTTGAAAAAAGGATAGCCAAACAGCTGGATAATGAATTTGCTTCAGCACAGCATTTCCTATATTCAGTCCTTGAGACACATTGCTCAGAAATTAGCTCATCTTTGTTGCTGTGATTCTCAAAATAAAATGTATAGTATATACATATGAATTATATTT